ATTGCATAAACCAAGTTTTGGATTTTAATTCTACATAATAACATAATGTTTTTGTGCTGTCTGCTCCTCAGTAAACAGCCAGATAACCTAGACTAACAGTAACCTGCTGTTCTTGGGGGTGACTGAAGGAGGCCCCGCTGATGTTCCACCTGTAATCATTTCCAGGGGCACCAGACTGACACTCCCCAGCCCACACCTCGGATTCTTTGCCTGGGAGTGTTCACTCAGTGCTGGAGCCTGCTTGACTTGAGTGCCTTGCGCAAGGGGAAAGTGCTGGGAAATGAATGTCTGCCCCCCACCCCCCTCAACAGCCCAACCACTAATGGGAGGTAGGTGCAGGCCCCCAGTACCTGTGCCCAGGATGCTAGCAGGATTAATCTGAGGTTGCTGCAGTGGTGGCTGGCTTCTAACTCCTTCGTGGGAGGGTTGCGTCTGTCTCGCTTTCCCACTCTGCCACCAGTATGTCCTTCATTCGCCTTTCAAACTGTTGGAAGAATCCAAAATAAGGCAGAAACTGTTTACATAGTAACTTCACTGATTAGGGTATAACCTTTGTGAGAAGGAAGCACTTTTTCTTCCTCCCCCACAGCATTTTCTCATGGTACATTTCTAAAAAATACAGAGACACCTTAGTGAATCATTTTCAAGCCATGCGCTTAGCCATTTGTCCAGGGTGTGTGTGTGTGTAGAGGGTGGGTATTTGTTTATTCATTTTTAAGTTTATGATTCTCAAGGGTTTCTTACAACTTTTCATTCAGTGGTATAGAGTGTGGGAAGTGAGGGCATTCGGCATCAGACTCTAAACGGTTTGTCTACTGTGAAGACTACCCCTTGTTTCTTAGTGGAGGTAGACAACATGTAACACTTAAGGGACATAACACACACTTTTTTTTTTCTTTGTCATTAAATTAAGAGCAGATCTAGCTGGCTGTCAGATGTGATGTCCCCTGACTGTTAGTTACCCCTTTTGGATTTGGTCTGTGGGATATGGGTACCACACAGGTATTCCCAATTTAGCCAATTAGACTCAGGTCTCAAAGCACCTGGCAGCTGGGTTGCTGCTATGTCCATTTATTTTAAACTGTTAACTAAACTAAGGACCATTCAGCTGGGCTAAACAACTGTGTACCACCCTTCACCCTGTTGCTGGTCTTCTGGCCACAAGTGGGTGAGGGCTGTTCCTGCCGGAGATGTATATAGGAGGCAGCACTGGAATTTAAGCTTAGGCTTGGTAATGAGTTAGAAATGTTAAGATTGAGCAGATGACTATGCATTGTACATTATAGTAGAGTACAGTACAGTATAATAGAGCAAAGAAAAGGAGCTCTTTATGAAGATAGAATAATAGTGTATTATCCACAAGTTATATACAGGCTTTTGTTTAAAGCTGTGGTATTTCTCTCAATTTTATTTGGCGTTGTCATTTTGTTCCAGTGTTTTCAGGTGCTTCATGTGTGCAAGAAGGTGGCAGGTGAAAATAGGATTTTTGCTTGAAAAAGATGACCTCAAGCAGGGGATTTCCAGTTTGCCCCATATGTTCCAATGGACAAGTTCCATTAAGACATGCAACCAGTGTTCTCTTTATATTTGTCCTCCTGGATATGCTTTAATCGTTTGACGATATTCCCTCTGATAGATTTTCAGGCCTCATTGTAAATAGTATTGTGAACAGGTAGATTGATAAAGCACACTACTGAGGGGAACAGTGGGTGAGACAGGAGAGATCTGCCACACCATTTGAATCACCTGTGGGGCCAGGGGTCAAACTCACACTGAAGCAGGCATAGCTCTCCCTGCAGTGCTGCGCTCCATCCTGCTGCACCACCAGGGAGGGCCACTTTCTAAATTTTCTTATAAGTCCATCTCGGTAACTTGTACAGGATTAGAGCAATATACTATTCAGTGAATTAACTGGTTGTGTTCCTACTCTGATGATGAACATATGTATTGGTACTTAGGTACCTTTTATTCTACCTGTTGCCCTTTCCCCCTTTTGTCTCAGGTGGTAATAGAGCTCTTTGTCAAGCTTTGTCACCTTTCTGATGAATGATCTTTCTATTTTAGCACATTAGACCTAAATATATATTTTAGGTGTGTAACCTTGGGTACATTATAATCGTTTATGTTTTGGTTTTCTCATTTATAAAATGAGAGTGATAACACTACTTTGCCTCATAAGCTTAGCATGGATATATGTGTTAATACACGTAAAACACTTAGCACAATCAAAAGTATTTCAAAGCTATAATTAGGGAGTTCCAACTTTGGTTGGCTGTGAATACAGAAGTTCAGCACAATCATGAAAGCATTTTATGAACACTAATTAACTCTATAGAATTTACAGTGAAGTATGTCACATATATTCTTACATGAAAATTGTGTACCAGGCATCCTTTATGTCAGTAATATTTATAAATGTCTCCTATACAGATACCAATGCACACAATACTTCACTTGTTTTAAACATTGGCCACTTGGGTAACAATGCCTCCCTCTACTTTTGCTCCTGAGGCCTAGGATATTTTCTGGTATGTGGTTTATATCTGGATGTAGTTTGTAAGAGATGCTGTTGGTATCCTACTTGGATCATCTTCATTGGATTTGCACCATTGCCCAACTGCCATATGGGTACTGGCTGCTAATGACTCGCACCTGTACACTTCTCCGGAGGCCTGCCTTTGGCTGACAGTAATTACTTCAACCAAACATGTTAGGGAGACTATGAGATCACACCCAAGCCCCCTCTGTTTCTTCAGGGTGACTCAGAGCCAATGACTGTACAAGGTATAATAGCCTGGCTCCCTTGCCTTTGAACTGGATAATGTCTGTGGTTCAGTCCACACTGTAGAACTCACTGGATCAAGTTGAAGCTAGATTTCGGAAACTGTATTTTTTTCTAGCTCCTTCCCCCAAGTGTACTCCTTGACCTCCTGGTTTCTCCCAAGCACTCTGTATGAATTATACAAGAAATATGTCCTGGGTTTTGTGTCCATAGAACCCGACCTACAGTGTGGCTAATCCTAGCGTCTCTGTTTCTTTCTTAATTCCAGTCAATTTAAACAATTCTCTTTATTAAATAATGTCTGGCTTAAATTTCCTTTCTCTTTTTGTTTGTTTTCTTGGTTGGAGACCCTGCCCAGTATCTGTTAACCCTGCTAATTGCGCTTGTGCCATACCTTTGAATGTTTGATTATGCCACATCAAATGCCCTTGATCTCCTTATATATATGGCTTTTTCAGCATAGTTTTAGGATGAATACCTCAAATTTTGGAATTTAAGAATTGGTTTTAAAGTATGTGTCAGTTACACCTCCCTCCTAGGATTGTTATAAGAATAATAAGTTTTTTTTTTAAAGCACTCACCACTGAGCATAGAATGTCGGCAGTGGTCAAAATGGTAGCTCTTTGGTTACTCAAAGAGACTTGCCTTTCTGAATGAGGTGCTCATTTTTGTCTCTCAGAACACCTAATTGTACCCCATCATGGTGCTTTATGATGTTGTATTATACCCGACTGTTTCTCTCAGAAAAACACAAGTTTTTTAGTGTCATCCATTGATGTGTTGTCTTTCTATGGGAAGAGAAGACCTGATTTATATAACTCTTGCTGACTTCCATGGGAAATACTCTTTGTCAGTTTCAAGCTACCTACAAAAGGTCACTGAATATAGAATTTGAAAGTGACAACACACAGTTGACTCTTGCCAGTCAGCATACCCTGACTTACTCTTTGTATTCTAAGCACTTAGCATAATGTAGCTAAGATGGGAGCTAGATGTTCACTAGATGGCAAAAATGTAGTGACTAACTGGCAGAGACTTGAGCATGTGCACTGAAATGATGGAATAATCCAGTATCTAATTTTTGTTACATAATCAAAGTCCATTCACTTCATGCACACACATGCTTCCACGTATGACCACATAGAAACGCAATACATAGAAAAGCAGCTATAATGATGTGTGTGGGGGGTAATGCTCATGCCTTGCCTCGGCAGGGAGTCTCTTACTCAGATGCAAGTCTCAAATTTGTGATTTATATTTCCTCCTCTCATTTTTCACCTCCCTTCTTTGAGCTTTACATTGCACCAGATTCTGGAAATACAAAAAGGAGTAAGTAGTACCCAGATGAAAATCATGTCTTTTTTCTGAACTTTCTGTCATCTGGAGACCAAGTGCTCATTGCCAAATGTGTTCATACAAATATGTCCAAGGCCAAAATTTCACTTCCTCACAAATTTTAGCACTTAAAGATATTGGGTTAATAATTTCAGTTTCCTGGATGAAAATATTTAAGACTGTCCTGATCAGCAAACAGTTCTTTTAGAAAATGTTGTCAGTGCCCTGCCTGGTGCTGCAAGGGGTTAACTCGCAGTTCAGTGAACCTATCCGCATCTACTACAGCATGAGTTCGATCCCTGGCCAGGGAGGTGACCCACATGGTGCAGCAGACCTCTCCTGTCTCACCTTCTGCTCCCCTCAGCAGCGTATTTCATTCTGCCTGTTCTGTTCACCACTCTGTCTCTGGTGAAATCTCTTACCTCCTTGCACCTCTGGCCTATACCCCAGTTTTTATATGCATAAATTAAAAAATCTTAAAAGAAATAGAAAATGTTAAATCATGTTAATGGTGTGAACAGAACCCTCAGTGAGCAATCAACTTATGTCATGCTCTGTGTTAGGTTCAAACTCACTTTTTAGAGGGTATAGTTTATTTAGAATTAGTAAGCAAAATTAGAAAAAATTCTAAGTCTAAGAAGTATTAATTCCGTTCTTATGGGATGAGAGACTAGAAGAATGACTGTTAAGCTTACATGTTCCCCTTCAAGGCCACTTCCATTTATTGACTCCGAATGCTTTATTTGTTCACCCCAACTGTGACCCCTGCACTTAAATTTTAAAAGTTACATTTATTTGCAATAAGAATTATTATTGGAAATATTTTTCAGTTGTAATGCTATTTTCAGAACAAGTTATTCAAAATTTGTTTTTGTTTCCACAGGGGCTGATAATATCCGGAAATACTGGAGTCGATACTACCAGGGATCTCAAGGGGTAATATTTGTATTAGACAGTGCTTCTTCAGAAGATGAATTAGAAACTTCTAGAAATGAACTGCACTCAGCTCTTCAGCACCCACAATTATGCACTTTACCCTTTTTGATATTGGCCAATCATCAAGACAAGCCAGCTGCTAGATCAGTACAAGAGGTAAGTCTCATTTATGACAATCCTTTATTTTGTTGCTACACTTTTCCTACCACCTTGAAATTAGGAAAAAAAAAAATCTAATATTAGAAATATGCTGTCTGTGCTGTTTTCACCATGAAATCTCCAATTTCTTAGAAAGCAAAAAACCTCTTTCAGTCTGATAGAAATGCTAATGAACATTTGGAGAGTCTAGGTTTTTCAACTGTTAAGCAAAAGTTAGAGGACTTGTATGCATACTTCTACAACTATGTTAACAGGCTAAAAGTCTCATTATTTACTTTTTTTTAAGATTTTATTTTTATTTATTTAAGCACGTTTAAGAACCGGGGTGTGTCCAGAAGCATGGAGGTAAGAGGTGAGAGGATCCACCAGAGACATAGGGGGGTACAGAACAGGCAGATCTACTGAAATACACTGTTGAGGGGAGCAACAAATGAGACAGGGGAGGTTTGGTATGCCATGTGGGCCAGGTGCCTAGCTGGCCAGGCATCAAATTCATATTGCAGTGGCTGCAGATAGCTTCATAGTGCCAAGACTTAACTCCTGTGCCACTAGGGAGGCCCTGGTTATTTAAATTTTTATTGTTTTTTTAATTCACCAACTAACTTCGTTCATTCTTAAACTTTTCAAGGATGTCATGTTCTTCTTCCTTTGAATTGTCCACTGTTGACAAGAACCCTGTTCTGTAACCAGTCAGGCTAGAAATCTGCCTTATCTTGCAATTTCTGTGTCACCAAATATATTTTAATATGGGCCAATTCTATATCATTCTCATTTAATTTCATGTCTTAGCTTATATATCTCCTGTAAAAGCATGAGACTAATTCTGACCAAATAATCTGTGTCTTATGCAGTAGAACTTTTTGATTCATGGCACTAAGGTAATGTGATATGTGAATAATTTTTAAAACTTTCCATTATGGTGAATGTTAACCAAGGTAGAGTAAAAAATGGTCAGTGTATTCCTTTATACCATTAGCTTTCATGATACATATACTACACCGTTCAAAAAATTGCATGTTTTTTTTTAAGTGATTGCGGAATAAGATGATTAATGCCCTTTCATCTGAAAAATGGATGAGGATCCAAGGATATGACATGTTGTAATTCCAAACCTCCCTTACACTTTGTGTGGTGCCCATGGGCAATAGCTTTGTTCTTGTGCCTGTCTTTGCACCTGTAAAATAGAAATAATGCAATTTCTTAATAATAGTGTATATAGTGACATTGTTGTTAAATTAGTTTATGATTATAAGGTGTTTTGCTGAAATGCATTGTTATACTGAGATTAATTATGGGATGTATAAATATGCATATTACAGAATACGTAGACAATCTAAAATTTTATACATATATGATATGTACATTGAAAAACATGTACATTAAAAAACATCTACGCGAAATAGAATTCAAGTGATGTGATCTTTACTCAAGTTATGTGCAGGAATTTTTTCTTTCAAATATAAGAAACCTTTGACATTAAGAGTTAAAACTGGTATCGTCTTTAAACTTAATATGTCACTCAAGAATCCTCCATAGGAATGAAAGTCTCACCTTGAATATAGGAAGTCTTGAACAATTAATTGCTTCTGAGTATGTCTGGTGTGTGTTGAATATTTCTCCTAGGAAAGGGTAAATGTCATTTTGCAATCATCTTTTAATAAGACAGAGGAAAAGCTAGAAATATGTAATAATAGATGTGATTTGAAATTATTGCAAGCTTGTATATAAAGGAGTATGTGTGATTTGACATCCCTTCTTATTTCTATAATTCTAAATAAATTCTCCTCAAAATTTTTGCTTATACTGAAATTTCCAAATCCCAGTAAAGCATGATTACTATCATTTTATGAACATACTACATAGGTGTATAATAACATTTTGAACTGCTTCAATTAATATATAGACAAATTCCATTATAAGTCTTGAAATTTGTCAAAATGAAGTGCTTAAGCTTTGGATTTGGCAGAAAAAGATATAGGAGCTTCCTGCTTTCCCCCCTTGCTCAACAGAGGTTTCTCAGTAGTGTGCTATGATTCTTTGTTCAAGTAACCCCTGGAGCCCCTGGAATGTTTTAGGAATTAAGTGAATGCCTTTTTGTTAGCATAAAAATGAAATTGTGAAATGAATCAAACTTTTTATTAACAATAATATTGAAATGGTGGAGAGCAAGAACATGTAGAAGAGCAGGTAGGACATTGAAAATAGTGCAAAATCACATTATTTACACATGCTAACTTGTGTGCCCCTGTGGAACCTCCACATGGTAAAATGATGGTGTTTTGCTCTACAAATTACCTGTAAATTTTAAGCAAAATTCTGTCCTGTCTGAGTCAAGGAAATGCAATCAGTTTTCCAAAAAACATTGAACAATTCTGTGCTGCTGTTAAGACAGTGAATGATACTCTTACTGATTTTCTCCTCCCATTTAAATTAATGTTTTGTGTTTAACATATTATGCAAAAATATTGCAATTATTTGTACTGTTTCTGGAGTAAAACTTTAAGATGTATTTATTTGTCATTTAATGAGAATACCAGGATATTGTTGATTTATATAGGCGTTGCTATAGGTATTCTAGAAGTTAATAAGAGCTGGTGAAATCCAAAGGATCGAGTTGAATTATCCTTGAGATCCCAACAGTGGCTGAAAAATCATTAGGAAATTATTTATTTAGTTCCTGTCTCTGCTATGAATTATACTATGTTTGCATGGAGAAGGGAGTTAAGATAGGAAGACAATAGTTAAAATTACTTTGTAACTCATAAACTAAGGGCAACATGCCCAATTACGCTGTTGCCCTTTTAGAAGCAAGTGGAGTCTTGTACATTGCATAGTTTCCCTTTTTGTAATGTACCTGGTAATGACCTGTGTTTAACTTAACAGAATTTTAAGATTTTATGTCTTGAGAATTACAGTAGAAACATGTTTTTAAACAATTAAACTATTTTTTTAAAGAGTGAAACACTGAGAAAAGAACACCCTTTACCTACAGTATGAAAGCCAAGCAGTTCTTGCTACAGATGTTTGTTGTATTCACTTTGGGGAGGTGTATTTATCAGTTTTCCAGGATTTACTCATATCAACTATTTTTTTCTCTAAAGAAAACATAATACAAATACCTTAATAATATCAACTGACCCTTTGGCTTCATTGGGGAAAATTCTAGTCAAATTTAAAAGTAACAAAGCTTTTTTAAAAATGAAAAATCTTAAGGATAAATGATTGGTTTTTATTTGTATTGAATTGTAATTGTATCTAATTTGTTTCACAACTCCCATAGGAGAGCATACTTCAGTTCTGAAGTTGTTTAATAGATGAGGATGATTTTATGAGGTGTTAATTGATAGAGTAGCCTATAAATGTAATCCTGTTTTCTCTCTACACAGTTGTATGTTGTCATCTTTTTGCTATCTTGCTTTTTAAAAATCTTATTTTTATTTTATTGGTCATTACTGTATTTTATAAAATGACACATTTTGTCATCCTAAAGTAGTTCATCCTGTCAGTAACCTTATCTGCTCTTTTTTATTTGTTCGTCACCTTTATCTAAAATATTTCACTTTTTCAGAAATAATATATCAAAAATACCATCTTAACTATTCATCAGATATTTTTATTTAAGCAAATATTCAGGAATTTGAAAATAATGAAACAATTTTTTTTTTGTAGTGGAATTATAAGGTCAAATGACAGTGTTGGTTCCATGACTTTTTTCTGCCTTTTTAATTGTAGCACATGAAAAATCCAGCAATTAACTTAGGATGTTACATTATAGTTAAGATTGTAGTCAGGCGTCTCTCAATGTTCATGAAATTGTGACTCTTTTTATCATCATTATTTGCATAGAATGTGGTGTTATTTTCAAAAAATATAGGATATAAATGTGAAAAGAATTTTTCCAAGTATTTCTGTAGTCACAATTCTAGCTTTTTAGACCATGTTTTGTTTTGGTTATAAATATTCATGTTTTTAAATACTTTTAATATTCAGTATATCCAGTATATCATGAATAGTTTATCTAGTTCTCACTTTTTAGTCTAAGTACATCTTCTGGAAGAATGTTTTATGTTACTTAACTCTTTCACTTAATTATAATTACTTCTTATTTATAGATAATTATTTCAATATCGTATACCTCTTTTTCCTTTCTAATAAAGACCAAAGAGAGTTTTGAAGATGAAATTCTGGGACACTATCCATAAATAACAAACCTCTGGTTTAAATTTTATACTGCTTGATAATAGAGCATTGTTTGTTCCCCACCACCACCACCTTTGGTAGGTCCAAGTAGCAAGCAACATCTCTGACTATATGACAGATCTTTCATTTAATATTACTCTGTATATACAGAGAAATATGTGTTTGTAAGATAATGATCATAAAATCTCATACACTTTAAATCTTAAGTCTTCAAGTATCTTGACCTGCCTCTTGGCAGCTTTTTAACTGATGGTTTTATCCATCATGCTGATGGACTTCACAAACACTAGTGTACATGCCTCTTGTGTAAGCTGTTTAAAAACTCCCTGATAGGATGTATACTTTTTCTAAAGTGATACTAGGTACAAATTATTTTTTGTGTGTTCCTTATAGATGTACTCCATGCAGGAATAATTTTGTCCTGGGGAAAACACCAGTGTTTAGAAGTTGGTTTTCCTCTGAATGACTCAATTGATCTCTCTGAATGTTCACTAACTTGCAGCAGAAGCCTAATTAACAATCATTTCAATAGTTACAGAAATGGTGGTATTACTTTAAAGGGTTCAACTAGAAGCCAAGAACACTAAAACAGATTATTGGTCATTTATATGTTTCTTTTCTCCTTTATATGTATTCCTTGGAAAAATTAATTTGTATACTTGATTTTAAAACTAGCCACTTTACTATCATCATTTGGTCCTTTGTATGCGTTCCTGCATTTTCTTGTGTCTACCTGGAAAGATAATGAGAATGTGTCCTATCCACTGAAAACTAGTAAAATTCACATTAAAAAATAT